GACTACAGTAGAAGAGTACTGGATGCAAACAGGAGAAAGAACAAGCTAGATAAGTTGAGAGAGAAAGAATTAGAGAGACAGAAAAACTTAAAAGATATCAATGATGTTTTGTTGTCACATGACTCCATTACAGAAGAGACTCAATTCAGCAGTGAGGAAGAAAAGTCAAACGAGGACTCTGAAATCAGCGAGGAAGATGATTTCCTGGGTAACGGTCGGAAACGCAGGTGTAGTATTATTTTAATAACATAGTTGTAATTTTCACAAGCTAAAGCTGTTTTATTGAAAAGTATATAATTATAAATAGGTAGAAAAATATTATAAAATGATACCTAGATACAATTATGGAGATATGATAAATCTAGCAGTGAATGTTGAAAAGCTCATTGAATGTACTGCTATTCCAGCAACAAGGTTCAATGTTGGTGTACGACCTCATCTGGCAATTTTAAGTGAAGTATTTAAAGCTGGAGGTATAAAAATTAATGATATACCGCTTTCACGAAGCACACTTCATAGAAAAAAGTTCAAATATGTAGAACTTGAAGGAGACTCGGAGTGGATTTCAATATCTAATCATCTTAAAGGCCGACGGCTTATTCTTCATTTTGATACCAAACTGTTGGAACAAATTACCACTCGGCTTAACATTATTCAAAAAATTGAGCGACTTGCAATCTCAGTGAGTTCCCCGGATGACGATACCATGGAAGACCATCTTTTAGGTGTTGTTCAATGTCCTTCTTCAAAGGGAGTTGACCAAGCAGAACAAGTGCACAATCTTTTAGAATATTACGGATGTAAAGAGCAGATCATTGGTATATGCTGTGATACAACTGCAAGCAATACAGGCGGAGTAAATGGAGCAGTCCAAGTTCTTTCAGATATTTTGAAATTACCAATTTTGTGGATAATGTGTAGGAGACACATATATGAAGTACATGTATCTCACTATATGGCTGCCCTTACTGGTGAGAAAACTAAAGGTCCAAGAAAAGCTCTTTATGTCAAGCTAAAGAACAAGTGGCCTGAAATCTGTGAGAAAGTGAATGAAGTGAAAAATTTATGTAAATTGGACTGGCAAAAAGATGATCTGAAGATTGGCTCTGTTCTTCGCACTGTTGCAGAGGAAGCTAAGACATTTTTGACTAATGCAACTACTGATATAGTGTTTTCAAGGAATGATTATGGTATAGTTTGTAAGCTTGCCTCCTTCTTCCTTGGAGTGGAAGTACAAGATTTTAAGTTCCATCAACCTGGCGCCTGCCATGAGGCAAGGTTTTTTAGCAGATGCGATCTACATCCTGACTCTTTATATGACTAAAGATATCAGTAATATCTTGACAGAAAAAGAAATGCTGCAGTTGAAGGATGCAAGTTTGTTCATTGCAATTTGCTATGTTCCATGGTTTTTAAAAAGTTTTTTAGGATTTCTGGCTCTCTACAATGATTTGAAAGCTTTCCAGACAGCCTATGCATTGAGAAAAGTTAGTAAGAATATTGGAAATGCTTTGCTTCTCAGCATGGGACGCCATACGTGGTACTTAACTCCGCAACTCTGTGTTTTTTCTTTTGGGGATAAAGAAGTTTCTTCTGAAACAAAGCTAAGAATGCTGTTAGCTCTGATTGAGTTTGAAGAGCCAAATGAATTTCAGCGTTGTAAACCATCAAACTTACAAATTGGAGAGACCACAGAGCTACCTGAGTTGATTTCCGAGCAAAGCTACCTTCTCTTCAAACATTTTAAAATATCAAGAGCAAGTGTAAAAGAATGGCTTAATAATAGTCTTAATACTATAGATGTTTTTAACCATCCTCAGTTGCTAGATTTTATTGCATGGATCAAAAACATATCTGTTGTAAATGATGGTGCAGAAAGAAACATTAAGCTCATTAAAGATTTTATTTCAGCTACTAGAGATGAAGATCACCTTCAAAATGTACTTTTTGTAGTTAAAAAGTCTAGAAAAAACTTGACTAAGACTATGACTAAAAAGGAGCTTGGGAACTGTTCAAAAAGTTTTTTGAGAAATGTTTCACCGCAATAAAATCTTAAATTTGCTAATAAATATTAGTTTTCATGTATTTTTTTTGTATTTTCATATTTATAAATATATATTTTTTTTGGGACACCCTAATATATATATTCTTGTAACATTCACGTTGCAAATATATGCTTTAAAAAGTATATAATCAAATTTTGTACTTAATAAGCCATTTTATAATGAATAAACAGTTAGATTGTGCAAAAACCAAAAGCTCTTGCAAGAAGCTGTTTAGAGGAGCAGCTCTCATGGCGCGCCATGTTCGTTTTAGGAGAGCTTTTCTCCGCTCTTTCATTCATTTACTCTCGCCTAGGCCTGTACATCTATATGTTGGACGTCTATTTAGGGCTCATTCTTGACGTAAATTTAGAAGTCTTTTAGACCTGTTTTTAGATGTATACTAGATGTATTTTAGATATCATTTGCATACAGGGATTGGCAGCTATTGTCGGTATTTATGAGCAGAAGCTTCTTACAATAGAAAAACGGCTAAATCATAGTAATTGTTCTTATAAATATATTAACGAGTACTAAAAGAAATTTATTCCTTGACTACCTATCATTCCCAATTCAACTACGTTTTTTCTAATAGAAGGATTGCTGTTTATAACGGATTCTTTGCAACGCTAAGTAAGGTTTTAGATGTTGCTGAATGGAGAACCAACTTTTTTAAATGAGTAAAAGGATGATCTTTATGAACCACGCTATATCATGACTAAATTAATTATGTGGGAAGATTTTGGGCGTAATATTAAACATTCTTTTTCAACTAATCTAACCACACTCCTTCCTCCTTTTCCAAATATATTCTATATATTTGGAAAAGGAGGAAGGAGTACTCTCTAACCACACTCTATCCTTCCTTTTCCAAATATATTCACTTTAATTCAAATTCTTGCATCTATTTAAGTAACAACATGCACTTGTGAAGAACCAATCTTTGTTGATTATTGTTTAAATGTCTACCTACGTAACAATAGTAAAAATCAATCTTCCAGAATAGGTTTAATGGTCTTGCTCTTATGAACGTTCATCAAGGTATCAGCGAATGAAGTGGTTGACTGTTTTGCGAGGAAAAATCCTTGATAAAACTTCCAAATATTTTATGTTCTGATTTAATTTTAAATGTTTTTGCATTAAAATAAAATAAATAGTGTAAACTGTTTTATATTTTTTATCCAGTGTTTTATATATTTTATCCGTCTAATCAATGATGTATTAATACAGCAACACCTTTTTGCGTTTAAGTTGACCAATTTTCACTTTAGTTTGTCATTTTTTCATTTTAATTAGGCAATTTTTACTTTAATTTTACATTTTTCTTTTTAATTTTTCTTTTTTTGTTCAATTTAGCACACAAAATTTATACCTCCCAAATCTTTTTTTTATTTTTTAATTTTTTTAAGTTGATTTAGGTACCCCAAGAAGTCCTTACGGTCTTATCACATAGTACCGCGGAAGAGAATTTAGTAGGAAGTTCACACCTCCTTTGCAAAACTTGCTCAGAGGTGGGGTTTGAACTACATATCTTACGTTTCTGAGGCAAGTGCGCTACCACTGCGCCACGGCTGCTAAAATCAAAATCAATTTACGGAGAAGAAATTATGAAAGAGATAAAAACATGCGAATCAAATTTCAAGTTATGAAAAACTGAATATATAAAATGCACTTATTTGGATTTTTGATTTTGATTTGTTTTGGAAAACTTTTTCCTTTAAAATTAAGCCCTGACCGCATCATCAAGAAGATTGAGAGCACATTTATAATGTTTTTCAAGATGTTGGGTAAAGACATGCAAGTGCCTTAGATTGCCTAGTTGATATCAAAATCAACATACCAGTTTTAAAGAAATGGTGCTAAAAAAACGGCTGGCACATATATCCTTTATATAATGGTATAAGATCTTCAAAAGCTAAATGCTATCCCAAGAACATTCAAATGGATGACTATTCAGTACAAATACCGCTAAAAAATCTTCTAAAACACAATCTTAAAAAACTATGTGGTATACAAACTACTGTGCTAATCACAAGGCTGGTTGTGATGGTGCTACAGGGTATAGTGTTTACAAACAAGAAAGTTACAAGTTGACGATTGAAGAATGCCTGTTGATTATTTGCATAGTACCTTTAGAATTCAGTAGACTTTATAATAATAAAAACGTTGTAATATTATTCATCCATAATGTGCGGCCAACAGATTAAAAAAAAAACAATTATATATAAAAAGATGATAAATAATCTACATTACTTATTCAAAACGTCGTGGGCATATAATAATATTAATAATAGAGTTTCAAATCTATGTTTAATTATATTTTATATATATATATTTCTATATACTTTAAATCTGTTATATAATGTCGATAGTAGAGTTTCAAATATAGAAATAAATTTTCGCATTTTAATTTTTAAAGCTTGTTACATCAATTTTTTTTTAAAGTTTATTCCACTAAAAGAGTTTCCAAGATTTTAGGAAGTTGTAGGATTTGAAATTAAAAAATTACAAACCCGCGTTTTTAAAATTTTATAAAGTTTGTTAAATATTTTTTAGAAACAGCAACTATTTTACTAAAATTTAAAACAAAAGTAAATATATCTCAATACAAAGTGATTTTTTGGACTTAATTGGGTTTTAGCAAAAAAAAGATCAAAACAATTTTGTGCATGACAAATAAGCCAAACTGTGCATGGCAAACAAGCCAAAGAGCACGTGACCTGATTGGTGGTCAGACGTGCGACAACAATAAAGGAAGTGTAATTAAATTGTCTAAAAAAAATTCATTCACAACATTTTTACTTCTAAATTTACTTAACGTTAACTTAAATATCCCGGTGGAGTTAAATTCCGAAATAAATAATAATAATAACCAAATTATAAAACGTAAAGACCCAAGCCATTCCGGGTTATACGCGATAAAGTGGAAAGTGGAATTCATGTAACAAAAAATAAACATTATAAATAAAAATATATATTTTTTTAATTTAAACAGTAATTAGAAAAAAAAATTAATCACTAATTACACTTAAAAAGGTTTCAGTAATATATTTTACAATTATTCAAATTTTCCGAAATAAATTGAAGTCGAAGTATTTTTATCAAAGTGTACATTACCAACAAAAATAAAACTGAGCACTAGTAGACTCCACGTCAGCAAAAGGTCAACATTTAAAAGATTTAGATAAATAAATTTGAAAGTTTGGCGATGAGATTTAGAGACAACCGATTAATTTTCTATAAATAAAAACATAATTTGCTACGGTTTCTCAAGAGATTTCACAACCTTTAAAAGGAAATAGAGATTTCACAAACTTTTACTCGTTAATAATGTACTCTTATCAATACTTTCAATACAAGGCAACATGAAACAAAGTTTAAATCAGAAAATAAAATTAAAAATAAACAATTAAATTAAGTTTTGCATATTTTTAGCTTAAAGAAAAGGTTTTATAAAAAACTTTTTTTAGCATTCGTACGATGTTGAAAGATTCTGGTTTGTATACTATGTTGAATGCTAACATTCTTAAAAGAATATCGTGAATTAGACAATAACATTAGAAGTCTGACACACAAAAAATCAATTTTTAAGCTCTGAGTCTTTTTCCAACTTTTCGCTTTGACGTACTAATCGATCTGCAAAACAAAATATAAACTGTTTTTTAAACCAAAAAAAAAAAACTATTTTTTAAACCAAAGACTAAATTTGATTATTGATAACCGTTAAGATATTAATTATGCAGCTATAATAATATAATAACTAAAAAAGTTCACATCACTAATTGTATCAAAATCTTTTTTTGTTGGACGATGTAATTAATTAAAGTAAAAACGTAAATTACAGGGGCGTTTAACTATTTATCTTTTCGTAATATTTCAACCTGTCATAAGACGTAAAATATAATCAAAAATAACTTTTTTTGATTATTTACTTAACAATACCCTAAAAAAATTGTTTTTGACTACATTTTACGTCTGATGACGATTTGTTTAAGAAAGATTAAAACATTACAAAATAATAAACAGTTTATACGCCACTGTAGTTTATATTTTTACCCTAAATCATCACTTAGATACTTATAAATATATTAGAAACTTATTATATGACATAAAAAAAAAAAATAGAAACAGAAATATTTTAAGATCCAAAATGCTCATGATACAAAAAAAAAAAAAAAAAAAAAAGAAACAACAAAACAAGCTCTATAATAAATGCTAAGTCAAACTTTAGAATATTTCGCAAAAATTAAACAAATAATCATAAACAAACCTGCATCATTGTTTCTCATTAGATATTTGTTGGCAATATGCCTCGGCCCACGAGATTGAAATGTAAAACCAAAACGTAATAAAGTCTGATTTTTCGCCAATACTTTACAGATTTTTGTTTCTAGTTGATGTCCCATCATTTGTGACTAACATATAGAATATGACGTAATAATCATTTGAAACTAACATATAGAATATGGCATAATAATCATTGTAACTAACATATAGAATTGATGAGGGTAAAATGAGCACCTTGGTAATATGAGCATACTTAAAGATTTCTTAGATGTAACCAGTGAAGTTAAAGTTGCTTTGTATTTTTTGAATCGTGGGGTATTGGCAAACACCTAAGCACGAATGCGAATTAAAAACACCAGTTATACAAAATTGGTCATATTTATTGCTTATCAATTAGTTTAATTATTCAGTCACAAACCCTCAAATACAATTTTTATAAATCTTATAAAATAAAAATTTATGGCAAAAATAAAACCATTGGTGTTTGGAATAACCCTACGTATGTGGGGTAATTCCGAACATATCAGGGGGCAATCACAAACACTATTGTGTAAAAATGAACAAAGTGCTAATTGTAATAACTCTAAAAATTATATTATGCAACAACACAAAAAAAACGAGCGGCTTTATTTCCATAGAAGCTACAACAGACTGTTACCCAATAAAAAAGTTGCATAAAATTATCAGAAAAAGTTAAAATCAAATTATAGTACACAACATCCGCAGGTTCATTATATTACTGCACGTCTGGAACTGAGCATGGGATGCCTTCTCAGCAGGTAAAAAGAAATTGTCAAATTTTTTTTCCTACAATGCTGTTTTGACCATGTTCGGAGTCACCCCGCGTTTGCCATTACTCTACTCTCCCCGATGCATTAATTAGTGGCTATTATCTAATAATAATGCTGTTAAATTTTTTGCATTGTTAAAATATCATCATGTATAAATCTGTTGGGCGAAATTTTGATGCTTAAATAATGAAATTAATTTTTTCATAAAGAAAAATATGATAGCTAAAAGTCCAATCCATTTTTATTTGAAAAACAATGCATAGAAACATTCAGTTTTTACTTTATTAAAAGATGCCATTTTTGTGTAATATAAGCATGCTCAAATTACCATGTGTTTTTCATTAAAACACCAAGTTTAAAGTCCTAAAATAGCAGTGGTTTTAATTGCTTTTTGAATAAAAACAAAACTGTTGTTCAAGTTTATTCAGGACCTTGGTGCGGGTGTTAGCACTTGCACTCCACTTTTTGTTATGGTATGAAACTTTTGTACAATTTTTAAATTTATTTTTGCTGAGCAAGGGTTAGAACTAAAGGAATATATTTTGACTTGCTAAAGTATGTTAGTCAGTGTATATCTTTAAAGTATGTTAGTCTGTGTATATCTTTAAAGTATTTAACTCGGTGTATATCTTTAAAGTATGTTAGTCCATGCATATCTTTAAAGTATGTTAGTCCATGTATATCTTTTCAGATGACAACTATTAATAAAATATTTCATGAAAGTGGTACAAAGAGTCAATCACAGGATAAATAATCTTAGAAAACGACACCAAGATCTGTCTCATAAAACACCTGAAGAATGTACCTTTTCTAGGGTAACATTCAATGCTTATAGTGTAAATAGAATTTTTGATAAAGTAAAACAACTTTTCAAAGGATCACCAAGAATTGTAAGATTTTGTAATTGTAAGATACATGCTAAAGATATAAATCAGTATAAATCGAAATTTTAAAAACAAAAAATTTCGCAAAAGCAATTATTACTATACCAATTCTTGTTATGTTTTTAAACCTCATTATCAAGAGTGTTCCAGAGCAACATGGTCTCATTATCTATAGTGTTACAGAGCAAGGTGGCTCTATATAATGTACAGCATGAACCATTATATATGGAGCTTTCAGGAGGTAGATTCAGTATTTTGCTACAACGAAGTTTATACGTAAGAATTTTTATATTGAATAGATTATTCATAAATTTTGAATTTTGACAATAGATTTAAAAGTTTCCATTATAGATACAAATCAAATCTTTAATAGACTATAATTAGAGCTTTTTTATGAATTCTATTAATTAATTTGTCATCTTTTTGAACAAAGCATTCAAATTAGAGGACAATAAGAAAAGTCAGACAAAGTTATGACATTAAACAGCAAAATAGATTTATCATGTGATAAAACATTTCTTATAAGTGAAAGAGCAAAACATTTACCATTAGCTTTTCTGCATAACCGTTTAAGGTATTCTCCAAACTTTTATCAATTGCTATACCAAGAAGTTTTATCTTATCAGAATCAAAATTCCTTATACTACCTATTTTTAGCAATAGATATTTTGTGTTTTTCAAGCCAAGTAAAAGATATCAAAATTTATCTGGATTAGCAACCATAAAGTTAAACTGAAACTAATTAATGGTATTGGTTGTTTATTTTTGCAAGAAATTTTTGCAAGAAATTTTTGCAAGAAAATTTTGCAAGAAATATTTTTGCAAAAAATAATCTTCTCAAAGCTATAATCACAAAAATAGTGTTGACATCAAAAAAAATTACAAAGTTTGGTATCTTTTATGAATATAAATTATTCATTTATAAAGACAATGAAAAAAATTAGTCCAAGAATTGACCCTTAAAGCACTCAAGATATTATATCCACCCAGTTTGAGGCAGAAGACCCTATTCTTACCTTTTGTTTATGACCATAAGATAGCAAGAGAATAAGACTCTTTAGAAGAACCATTGGCTTCTTATTTAGCAATTAGTAAGTCATTCAGGATCAAGTTGTATGCTTTTAAGAGGTCTATTAATATTGATCCAACAACACCTTTATCAGCCCTGAATAACTCAGTTGCTTTCCTAAAGCTGGAAGAAAAACTCTGTGAAAAAAAAAAGAAAAAAGAATTTATGATTGCCACAGACACTCTTTAGATAAAGTCGTATGCTTTTAAGAGGTCTATTAATATTGATCCAACAACACCTTTATCAGCCCTGAATAACTCAGTTGCTTTCCTAAAGCTGGAAGAAAAACTCTGTGAAAAAAAAAAGAAAAAAGAATTTATGATTGCCAAAGACACTCTTTAGATAGAAATTGGATTGAGAAAAGATCCTGCAATAAAAAGTTTGTAAAACTTAGTTAACAGAACAGTACTAGAATAAACATAAAAAAAAATATTCTCTATTATTTTTGAATCTTAGATAGGAATAATAAAAAAGCCACTTTGTGTGTTAAGACAACTTATAAGTTATTTAAATTTTATTTGCTTTATTGAAATAAGTTTAAAATAAAGCTAAACTATATTATTATTACATATTTACTTTTTTATGTTAACTAAAGGTCTTGATTATTTGTTAGTTATCTAATATTCACATAATAAAACAGTAGCTAACTTAAACTTTCTGGTAAATAAAGCTAAAGGCTCCTACTAATTAATTAGTTCCGTACTACTTATGCTCACCTATACTACAGACAAAAATTTATTATCCAAAAACACACGCTGCAGACACTAGGTTATTTTTAAAAAATGCTTCGGTTTATTTATAACAAAGAATTAAGTATTTAAAAATATTTACCTGATTATCAAGTCTTAATTCTTTTAATGATTTATTTACTTCTAGCATCTTAAGAAGTTCCTAAGATTAAAGAAATAAAAAAAATGTTTAACAAAACAATTCAAATAGTTAATAATAAAACTAAAATCAATACAAATGTTTTTAGTGTTCACGCAAAACTAAATGAAACATAAACATAAAACCATAACCTGCAAACTGTAACTTACAAACATACAACTCGCAAACAAGTAACTTACAAACATACAACTCGCAAACTGTAACTTATAAACATATAAAACACTAACATGATATCTGCAAACATTCACCTGAAAACACAAAACCTGGAAACACATAACTTGCATGTAATTTGTAGAGATGTGCAAGTTGATATATTATTATTTTGGTTTAGTGGCATATATTTTTTTGGTCACAATAAGTAACTTACAAGCAGGAAAAACTTTTTAATCCGGCCATTTATATTTATAATAAAAAAATAAATATGTCAAAAAAGACTTTTAATTGTTAAAAAAAAAATTTAGAGTTTTTGCAAGCTACAGGTTGTTGTTTTTTTTGTTGTCTCACAGCAGCACCTTCAGTAGTAGCAGGAGGGACATTTATTTTTTTCTTCATTAAGTTTCAGACCATAATTTTTTTTGGCCCATCCACAGCTTATTTGCATAATTATTTTGCCCATTTTCAGCTTGTTTACATAAATTAAATACTTGCATACACTTTCGTTCATATTTTCTTATTAAAAAAGTGCTGGGACTCTTTCTCACCATTAACTCTGGTCTACTTTCACATCTATTACTGTTTTCACCATAGATTCTAATAAATTTATGTTGTGATAAATACTTTTTCAATAAATTTATAAAATTATGATATAAATTAGAATTTTTACAAGAAATTCTCTATTTTTACTAAAAAAACAATTTATTTAATATTTTATTTAATTTTAATTAATTTTTATTTACTTATTTGACTCTGACATAGGCAATACAATTTAGTCAGAAACTGAACTAATGTCATATTCCAACATGTCTCTAAATTAGTCTGGGCCCAATTTCAGTTTTTAATACACTTTTAATGACTTTCCATTAATTGGTGAATTCCACCATTAATAACACAAAGCCTAAAGTTATAATATTTAAAATTAGAGTAATATATATATATATATATATATATATATATATATATATATATATATATATATATATATATATATATATATATATATATATATATATATATATATATATATATATATATTACTCTAATTTTAAATATTATAACTATATATATATATATATATATATATATATATATATATATATATATATATATATATATATATATATATATATATATATATATATATATATATATATATATATATATATATATATATATATATATATATATATATATATATATATATATATATATATATATATATATATATATATATATATATATATATATATATATATATATATATATATATATATATATATATATATATATATATATATATATATATATATATATATATATATATATATATATATATATATATATATATATATATATATATATATATATATATATATATATATATATATATATATATATATATATATATATATATATATATATATATATATATATATATATATATATATATATATATATATATATATATATATATATATATATATATATATATATATATATATATATATATATATATATATATATATATATATATATATATATATATATATATATATATATATATATATATATATATATATATATATATATATATATATATATATATATATATATATATATATATATATATATATATATATATATATATATATATATATATATATATATATATATATATATATATATATATATATATATATATATATATATATATATATATATATATATATATATATATATATATATATATATATATATATATATATATATATATATATATATATATATATATATATATATATATATATATATATATATATATATATATATATATATATATATATATATATATATATATATATATATATATATATATATATATATGACCTACATATTATATATATATATGACCTACATATTATATATATATATGACCTACATATTATATATATATATATATAAAAAAGCTTTTAAAACTAGTACTCAAAAGAAACAAAATTACATAAAAACTTAAAAAATAATTGTTTCGTATAAAAAGTATTACTTTAGATTTTATTCATTAAAACTATGGTTTTTAAACTTAAAAAAGTGCAATTTTATAAGTTTTTTAACATTTTTTATAAGGTTTTATAAAAAAAAATTATTATTTTTGAGATTTTTTATTATTTTAAGTAAAGTACTCTAGTTTTTGAACTGGTCAAAATCTACATATATAAATAAAATACATAAAAAAGTTGAAACAGAAAATTGATGACTATAAAAAATACTTACAGATACTCCATCTCTGGTCAAGTAGTTTGATTCTAAATTTATACTCTCAAGTGTTTTATTTACAATTAATGCTTCAGCAAACAACTAAAAAAATTAGCAAATAATAAAAATAATTATAATAATGTAACACTACTATTAATGAAACTATTTTAAAAAGATAATAGAAGTGCACTATTCCATTCACAAATTTTCTTATCCAGTAATATAAGCTTAATATATCCTCTAATATAGCCAAATTTAATGTAATTTTGGCCAGAATACCCTTTTATTAACAACTTTCCAGTTGTTAATAATTATTTAAATAATAAATCAGGGTTTAATTTAACAAAAATTTTATAAAACATTTCAAAATATAAGTTTTAAAGCAGTTTAAACATAACAAAAAGTAATTTTGAGTTTTTTAAGTTTTATTTTAAAGCTAACTTATTTTCTTTTTCGTAAGGAATTGTTTTGTTTATTCTTTAGTTATTTCAATAATAAAGTTTTTTTTTTTTGAAGAACTCAATTCCTGTCGGTCAAAATGTCCAACTACTTTTTAAAATGATCAGACAATCTGATGTCTGACCATAAAGGCCCTGCTTAATAAGTAGTCAAGTAGATTTGTAAAATAAATTTTTTGTTAACAAATCTGAGTTGACATTGAGAGAAGATTTTAAAATATTAACTGATGCATAACATCATTTTTAATTTTTTAAAAAAGATGAATCATTTAATTAATAAAAAAACATTTAACAATTATTTTATATGATAAAAAAACTGATGGAGATTAGTCTGTAGTTTGTTCAATTTTGTTTTTGAACAACAAATTTTCATTCACTACAAGCCATGCTAATGTTACTATTCTTTGTTCAACACTATGTTTAATAGTAGATCTATAGCAGCTGATAATCAAATGGAAAATTTTAACAGAGAAGCTGTGTTTGTCAAACAGATGTAAACTTTGATTTAGAGGTTTAATAGTAATGGCAGATTGGAATATCTTGTTCAGTATATTACCAATCAAAACTCTGTTGACCGGACAAAGAATGCAATGTATTGATATGAACACTTACATTTGCTTTTAATTTAAGTCTTTTTGGATTCTTCTTGTTGTTAGTTTGGTTGTGCTCAACAGATTGCAATTCAAGTTTCCTTCTTTACTTTGGATTGTACTCAATATTTTAACAATAATAATTTTCCATTTGCTGGTATGGTTATATACAAGAACTCTATCTTTCAAATTTTGTTCACTTTGTTGTATATACTGCAGAAAATTTGTTAGCATTTATTAGCATAAAAGCTTTTGAATAGATTTTCCCAGCTCTGTTTGACCAGGTAATTGTTAAACTGATCATAATTTCTTTTTTTATATATAAATTTTGAATATGTGAAACAATTTTATTGGGTGTAGATCAGATATTTGTTTAGTGAAAATAAGATATTTAATTGAGTAAACATTAAATATTTATTAAAAAAATACAATGTAGGGAGAGCATGACTATTTGCCAATGAGAAAAAGTAAACATGCTTTGTGTAGTTTGGAGTTTTTCACCCAAAAACAAATATCAATTTTATAAACTATTTTATTCTCAAGTCAAACTAATAGTGCATTGCCATGTTCAAACTTTTCCAGCTTATGGAGAAGACCAGCATGTCAGACATTAAAGAAATTCAAAGAAAATTAAAGAAACCAGCATATCAGAGTTTAAAAAAATCGAAAGTGTTTAATATGTCAAGAGCAAAAAACTTTGAAAGCTGATAATAAAATATTACACAAAGCTAAAGATGAAAACAGGCAAAGCTATACTTAAAAAAAACAAAGAAGAAGAACAAAATAAGTGGTTAAAAGTTTCAATTGTTCAAATTTTATAGGTATACCTTAATGAAACACTTAGTTAATGTTTCTTATAGTTATTTTAGCTTACGTGGTTACAACTATTGTTGTTTTATTATTTCATTTATTAAACACCAAATATAATTTACAAGGCAAAAAGAAAAATAAGTTATCTCTCGTGATTTTCACTTAAGAATTTTTTTATAGGTCCTGGATATTGCCAACAAAGGATTGTTAAAATAAAGGGTGTTTTAGTTAAGGTTAAGGTAGGGACTGTCAATGATTTATTTATATAGGAAATAGAACTTTGGTGGGCAAACTGGATTTCAGATTGAATAAGAGTTTGAACAACAGCTCTAAAATTTGAACTTTTTTTTTCAAAATTGACCAGTGTTTCTCAATCATCAGTTGGATTTATTTTGCGGCAATATAAATAGACTGAATTTATTGAAAGAGAAGCTGAAAAAGGAAAAAAGAAAGTGTTTTAAGACAAATATAAAGCAAAATCAATTATTCGCTTCATAAAGGCAAATCCATGTCAGTTGCAGAGAGATCTTGCGAGAAAATTTAAATGCAGCTAAGCTTTGATAAATACTCAGGTTTCAAGAAAATAAAGCATATCATAAAAAAAAACCATTAAAGTGATCAATTGATGGAGAAATTCGTTTCAAAAGCAATTCGTTGTTCAAAAAAGCTATTTAAAATTGATGATGAAATTGTAAAAAAGACTTTCCACAATTGCCAGGGCAGCAATATCTTTATCAGTCGAAAGGTAGATATGTTGCCAAAAATTCAAGTATACTAAAACTGAAAAATTTGCTCCCGAGTTCCTTATATGGAAAGCAATTTGCTCCTGTGGATTAAAAAGTACACCATACATTATTTGTAAAACTTTGAACACAGGTTTATTTATAAAAGAATACCTAAAGAAACACCTTTTGCCATTTATTAAAAAGTATGAAATGTCCACAATGTTTTAGCCTGATTTGACTACAATTCACTACTCCAAAAATTCTCTAGAATGGTATGAACAAAATTTCATCCAATTTTGTACCTAAAGAAGCAAATCCTCCAAATTGTCCTGAGCAGTGAGTTATTGAAAGTTATTGGTCAATTATGAAAGGAATCTTATTGAAAAGAAACTAGCTACAAATAAAAAAGATTTAAAAAAAAAAATGGATAGCCACCTCAAAAAAAGTAACTCAAAGCAAGATCCAGCAGATGATGTCAAGTATTCGCAAAGATATTCAGTTTCTATCTAACCGCCCAATAAAAAATCTAAAAAATTATTGAAACAAATAAATCATTCAAATAGCTTCATTGTGTCAAAAAATTACAAAAATCTGTTAAGTAGTTTTTGCGTAATTAACATTTAAAGGGTTCTAAATTTTATCATATAAAACCAATATGTATTTTTTTTTTTGCTTCCTTGTAAAAGTTTTGTTAATATTTCACTAAAATAGAAAAATCAATACTTATTTAATGGTAGAGAAGTACCCTAATATTACTTTATTTTATTTGTTTTATCATTGTGAATATAACTAATCAAACTAATAAAAAAACAATTGTGCTGATACCAACCCAAATTATAGTTGCTACCAAACCGAACCCAAACTGCGCTTAAGATCAAACCGAACTGGAACATTAGATTTAAATGAACTGAAACTAAACTTTAAAAAAAAGAATTCAATTTCCATCTCTAATAACTACAGTTAAAACAATTTAATGTAACACTCAACAAATGATGCTTGCTGTGACACGGCCATATTAAACTAAAACGCCCACAGAGTAGTTAATGTATCCACTTCAATGAAGCAGGTCAAAACTTTTAAAATGAACTAAGAGTCACCAAATATTCAAACGAGTGACTAGCCAAATACTCAGTACACATGACATCTCTATTAATTATAACAATTTTGAAAAACTATAAAATTAACCTAACATATTATTATCTTAATTTACTGAAAAGTAATATTTGCATTGATTTACCTTACAAACTGAATCTGTCATTTGAGTATTAGCAAGAAGCAATGTTTTTAAAAATTTGTTTTCTTTCAGATTATCTGCTACTAAAGTTAACTTCTCAACAGTGATATCTTTGTGATTATTTAAATTAAGTTCTGTTAGCGTTTCATCAAAACTGGTTAGGCGAGTCAAAGCTTTGTCTAAATCCAACTCATTTATAGCATTAATATCTGTATACTGTTTTGTTTTTGTCGCTTTAGTGATTCCTGAAAAAACAATATACTAAGTATTTAAGTAAAAAAAAAAATTAATTTAAATGTGAAATAATAAATACAATTTTTATCCTTAAAAATAAGTACACTTGCATTAAAATATATTTTTTAAACCTTGATTTAAAATATTCAACTTCTTATTAAAAATTATAATTAAAAAAAAAAAAAACATTTTGAAACAAAAATATGAAGTTGTGAAATAAAAACAAAATGCAAAAAGGTAAGGGTACAACATAAAATTTCATGAAATAAATGCTGCCTACATACATAAATGAAGGTCTCCTATAATTTAAATTACAACAATTTTTTTTTCAAATAAATTTGTTAGCATAACATAAAAATTTATTTAAACGCAAAAAAAGAGAAATCATAAATATTGCCCCTCGGTCTTTACAAAAATTTTAGTAATATAATCTTAAGAATATGTTTAGGAAAAAAAAAAAAACATTTATTGGAAAAAAGAATTTTATAAAATTTTTTGTTAAATCATTTAATTTCATTATTTTTGTTTTGAATATTTTCAGTTATAGGGTTTCCATCCGACCAACATGGAACAGAATGGTAGAAATGGTAGAATGGATAGTAAACAGTAGATGGTAACCATGAACCAGAATGGTAAAGATGGCAAGCAGTACAACTACATTTAAATAAATCCTCAGTGACAAGTATAAAGATAACAAAAGGGACTTTGAGTCCAAAAAATTTGACTTTAAACCTTTTATCAAACAAATAGGAGACAAACATAAAAAACTCAACAATAAAATTTGACATTTTAAGTCAACTAAAACTAAACTTAATAAAAATAAAACAATATTCACAAAGAATTAAATTCGAGTAAAAACAATATTCACAAAGAATTAAATTCGATCTAAAAACCATACTCCATATTGAAAGAAATTGAAATATTTCTTAACTATGAATATTTTTTTTGTTTTAATATAATAATCTAGAAGTTCTTTTAATTTCAAATGATAAAAAAACTGTGACATTATAACGAGCGCACATAATCACATTTGTTGATCACATATTTTAATTTTACATGCGCTAAAGAAATTTTTGCGCAAAAGAAGTTCATTTAAAACCATTCCCATCACCTAACTGTTTTAATATATTTTTTACAAACATCAATGTTCTGCAAAGCAACTTTTCATCAGTTGAATCTTAGCTCTTTCAAAACTTACCAGGCTTTTTTGCCTGGTTTTCTTTGATCATTCTTTTATGTGCTTCAGCTTAGAACCTTTTCACTCATCTTTTTATCTATCATCTTTCTCTTTGTTCTTTATCGATCTCCTTCTTCTTAAGACTGCACTCTTTAAATGTAATTTCTGTTTAAGTTGAACATGCGCTCTCTCTTTACCCTACTGTTAATATTGTTGTGATTGGTGACTTTAATGCTTATTACACTGAATGGCTCTAACGCCACTAACCCTGCTGGCACTGAAGCCTATAACTTCTGCATTTCTTAATTTCTTACTCAGTTAACTTTATGACTAGTTTTCCTGACAAACCTAATCATTTACCTTCGGTCCTTAATTTATGACTTTTCTCTGATCCTAGCTTGTGTTCAGCTTCTCTTATTTCTTCCTTAGGTGGTTCTGATCATGCAATGATCTCTACAAATCTTTTATCTTGTACTTCTTTTTCGAACTCATCTTATGATTGAACTTCTTACTACTACCCTATAGCTGATTCTTTTTGTGATTTACTTTGTGACAGCTCTTTAGCTGATGTCTTTTCTCTCTCAGCTGATAAATGGACCTGCTACATAACATCCATTCCAGGGAGGAATGGATGCTTTTATTCCTTCTTGTTGGTTTTAATTCAAGCCTCAATCAACTACATGGTTAATGGTTTTCACCTTTGTGTGCAGCTGCTATATCTAATTGTAATCATTTTTTCATCTTTTTCAAAAGAAGAACTCTCTTGAGAACAAACAGCTATTTATTATTGCAAAATAATGCAAGATGTAAAAAGTGCTGTCTGATGCTCCATTATTCTCAGTTCACAAAATTTCTTATCTCAGAAGTTAGGCTCTAGAGACTTTTGGAAAATTTTCAATCATTTTATCTCTAAATCTTCAATCATTTTATCTCTAAATCTTCAATCATTTTATCTCTAAATCTTCAATCATTTATCTCTAAATCTTCAATCATTTTATCTCTAAATCTTCAATCATTTATCTCTAAATCTTCAATCATTTTATCTCTAAATTTTCAATCATTTTATCTCTAAATCTTCAATCATTTATCTCTAAATCTTCAATCATTTTGTCTCTAAATCTTCAATCATTTTATCTCTAAATCTTCAATCATTTTATCTTCAATCATTTTATCTCTAAATCTTCAACCATTTTATCTCTAATTCATGGGACTGATCTTATTACCTCTTCCAAGAATAAGGCTGAATTTGTTTACAAAGAACTTTTCTTCTAACTTGACTCTTGAATCTTATGGTCATTCTCTTCCTTCAATTCAAATTAAACAGGTTAACCCATTGTCAGACTTTCAAATTACTCCAGCTTCTACTGCTAAGTTTTAACTTAATTAAACACTTCTACAGCCTGTGATCCAAACATACCTCTCATTGTCTTACAAAACTCTCTTCAATTTTCTTTAAACTATTTAATAAGAGCTTGACTGAATTTTGTTTTTCCTGCTGCTAGAAATTAACTTGCCATTCCAATTTTCAAAAATTTCAGAGAACATTCTGACCCAACTATTGTCCGATCTTCTTTCTGTTATTAGTAAGTTCTTTGAGTCTTAAAGTTCTTTGATCAACAAATTTCTCAAATCTCTAGTCAAGTAACTTAATGTCATACAATCAATACGGTTTCTGATCTTCTTACTCTATGGCTGACTTGCTAACTGCAGTGAATAAAAGATTTTATTGTGTTTTAGATGGAAGCAAAAAGGCTAGGGATATTGCTCTTGACAAAGTTTGACATGCAGGTCTTCTCCATAAACTTGATTGATAATGTGTATTTGGGAAAGTATTTGAGATTTTTGAGATTTTAAGATTTCTTTCTAACCATTTTATTAAAGCCATTCTCAAAACACTCTTTTTAGTAAATTATGGGGTACCTCAAGGTTCTATCCTGTTTTGTTTTTTATCTACATTAATGATCTTCCTGACAACCTTACTGTTAACTTTCATTGTTCTTTGTACGTAAAAGGGTTATAACTGTCCCTCTCTTTATAGCTATATTGTTTGTTTTGGTACCATCAGCTAACTCTATAAAATTTTCATCAGGTTTAAAGTATTTATCAATATAAGTGAAATGTTCATTACTTATTGCTATGGTACTTAAAGGATTACTTGACTAGTATAGAGCTTTTGTAGCTATAATTACCCAATTTGAAACTAGTAATAATTTTTGAAAATTTAAGCAGGCTTTACGAAGTTTAAAAGAAACAGAATGCACAAGAACAACTCATAATGAACATTCAGATACCAAAATAATGAAATTCAAAACTAGTGGGGGTAATATAAAGAAATTTTTGACTTATTATACTTGTGGAATTATTGGTCACAAGTCTTCTGAATGTCAAGCAAAAACTAAACCAAAGATATGGTGTAATAATTGTAGATCAAAGACAGTTCTTGCAGGAAACAAATAAAGGATAAAGCTAAAGCTGTTAGTTATCATTTTATACATGAATTTTATCAACAAGGTCGTATACTATTAGAATATATACAATCAAATGAAAATTACGCTGACGTTTTTAGGAAGCCAGCAAAGATTTATTACAAAAGCAGAAGGAATTTTTATTTGGAGTTTAAAACAATATGTTCCCAAGTTGGGGTGTTGAGTTTTAATGACACCATCTTTAATATGTAATAATATCAGCACTGTATTTATGTGCAGTATATTGTTAATTTTTTTTCAGCTTCAGGCATGAGGCTATGTTTATGTATACTTTTAATACTATTTGTAAACATTTATATCGCTATTTATTTCCTCCATCATAAGTGAATATAAAATATTAACACTTACATCTAAAGTGGCTTTTTCCACTGATAAAATTTCTCTCAACTTTATAATCCTGTCTTGATAAAAGTCTTCTCTTTTTGATTGCTTAGTTCAGGCAGCCGATCTTGAATCTGATCTCACTTCTATTACAGATTGGGTATTGTAGTGGCTTGCAAATTTCAACTTCAACAAAAGTAAGTTATTAACTGCAAATAATTATCAAAATACTATCAATTCATTTCTATAATAATGAATTGAAAACATGAAAAAACTCCTGATTCCATTCTCTACATCTACAAATCTCTTGTTTGTTCCAATATAGAATATGTATGAATTTTTGAAACCATTGGAACTCAATAATAATCTCAGTAACTTTTAAAACTTTTTAGAACTTTCTCTAATCAAAAAATAAACAAACATTTCTTTAGAAGAAACTTGTCTCTTATCCATTCAAACAATATTTTTACTGCTTTTAATTATATTTAAATATTTCACTAATTTTTACTAATTTTCTAACATTCTATATTACCTATTTATTTTATAATAATATTTTATATTCTAATTTATAATCATATTGAAAACAGTTTTTTTAACTGAAAGTGTATATCCTGTATAAATATCATTTTATAAACATTATTATTATTATCAAAACACTTTAGACAACAGACATATACAATATAAGTGGCATATAAAATATAGGTACCATAGTTTTGGAAAGAACAATATTATTTTAAGATTTGATTAAGTGAATGCATGGAATCATTCACTAAGGTACAAGCTATCAACTGATTACAAAATGCATGTCTGCAGTTTATGATAATTGTTAAAAGATGGTAATCTGTGCTCTAAAAGTATGAGAGATATACTATCGTACTTGTCATAACTAAAAAAAATTTTAGCACAGCAATACTGAAGGTGAATATGAACAATGCAAATATACAAACAAATGCAATATGATTTAAACAACTTAACTTTTACTCTGGTAGAGCATAAATGAAAGCACTATATTAGAATACTTGAATGTGTGTAAAGACCCTTCACCTCCTTGATTATATCAAGATCATTATTAATTATATGACAAAGTATTTAAACAATTTAATAAAAACAATTTTGAAGTCTGCTACGCATAATTCCCGAAAGCTAAGTAGTTTTTGAAGAGAAAATCAAGAAGGTTCAATTAAAACCATATCATCAGTGTAATCCAACAAATTCATGAAGATGCCATATATATTACATCCAATAAGCAGGTTTAAGATTGATAAAATCAAATTATGTATGTAAAAATTAAATTGATGTAGCGAAAATATAATTTCTTGATAAACACTATTTCCAAATCCAAAACTATTTGTTTTTGTTTCCTTCCATCAAACATACATTTGTTGATTACTTATTTATATTATTGATTAAATATATAGGAAGTTAAGGCTCTTACTAAGCTACTATGATCTTGAAACTAAGCTAACATTTAATTTATTTTTTTTTCAAACACATTAAGTATCCAGAGTCACACCAAGATCTTTTGGGTTAGAAAATCAAGATAAGTTTTACTAAAATAATGCAACAAAGTTTGCAGACCTATTCTTTGTATATACTGTTCAAAAAGTCATATGCATATAGCAAAAGTAAATATTAAACAAAATATTAAATATTTTTTATTGTGAATTTAAAACTTGTAAAACAGTATTAAGGAATTATTTTGTACCTCCTTTATATTTCTTTAAACCAGACCCTTTTAATGAATCCCATGCTTTATCTGCCTCCATTTGTTCGCTCTGCTTTTGGTTTAACATCCCATGAATACCAAGTACAGCTAAAGTTTATAAATAAATTATTTTAAAAAGCATACAAATCATATACATACAATATGTCTTATAAGCATACATACCATATACATATATATATCCATATACATATATAATTTTTGCTGACCTGATGCCGACCTCAAAAAGATTGAGGTCGACAAATTATTGCCGACCTTATTTTTCCTGATTCTGAGGGTTGATATATATATATATATATATATATATATATATATATATATATATATATATATATATATATATATATATATATATATATATATATATAATCAATATTGTTGTTTTTTCCTTACTTATTTATAAAACATTCATTTTAAAATTATTTTTGGAAATAGTTTTATTATACTTTTCATTTATTTTAATTTTTTAAAAGTAAACTTAATAAGTTTAAATAAACCGTTGTTTTATGTTTTAAAAAAAGAAAAGTCTTGAGATAATAATAATATTTTAATAATATTGTAAGGTCTGTTCTGAACCCTAAATGATTTTCTGAAAATTGTAAATGTGATTAAATTGTATTCTTAAATCAAGAATTTTGAGACAAAAATAAACATTATAATTATAAACTATAATTATAATGTTTATGAAAATTTTATATATTCGAATATGAGAAATATTAAACAATTAGATTCTTTATTATTATTTTTGAACATGGTTTTCAAGGTGTTATAAAAAGCTTAGCAAAGTGCTCTGTGACAAGACCTAATAGTTTTTATACGCATAATAAACACTAGACATGTGCTAAAAGCAATTCTGGTCATAAAGGAGGTCTTATATAAATGTATAGATTACATCTTAGCCAAAACAAGTCAAAGCTCTACTATATATCTACCACGTCTATCTGGGATCTGATCAGATAGGCTGATTTTCATATGGTAAATGATTATTTCTTTAAATTGTGAATTTAAAATTTACAATAAATATACCAGCAAGTTCAATAAGATCATCCTCTGAAGCCATATCAAGAACATCAGACAAGTCATCTGGAAGTAATAAAATTGGGCTCTTTTTCTTTTCTTTTGCTTTCCAAACCCTACCACGGGTCTTTTTTTCAAAAGGAACAAAATCTTCAATATTTTCAGATGCTAATGCTTCTTCTTTAAGATAAGTTAAAAGATGTTCTCTATCAAAATCACCAGTTGGCTCTAGTAAAGTTTGATCAGGAGCACGCTGAGAAGCAGGTAGCAACTCATTCTATTCAAAAAAATTAAATTAAATGTATGTTAACCATATCGTAATACAAAATTGCATACACAAAAAAATGTGATAAAAACTTACATAATAAAAATTTACATTAAAATTTACTAAACAAAACAACGCACTTTAAAACAGCTTTTGTTGAACCTCCTTTTTCCCATTTAACAGAAAAAAAAAACTTTTATTAATAACTTAAATTATGTTTTGAATGAAATAAAAAAACTTACATCAGGATCGTTAAGTTCTCGATTAAATTCGTCAAGTTCTTCCTTACTTAATCCAGTTAACAGTTCGTCATCTTCATGAATATCTTTCATCTTATATATATATATTTATTTATTACTATTATTACTTATATTTAGTATATTTTGAAACTGGTTATAAATTATTAATATATCAAATATATCAATAAATCATAAAGCCATAACTACGGAAAACGCAACCCAATATTTTTGTTTATAACGCAAATACTTTAATGACGCAATTAACTTTATCAACAACTTTTTTAAATTTCATAAACAAATTGCATTTTAAAAATCGGAGTTAAGTAATAATACTGGGTAAAGTTGAAAGTTAAAGACAAGTTAAAGACAAACACTTTAAGCCCTTTATAAAAACAAACGAATTCCTAAGTTCAATTCTGTCATCAAAATATTTTTGAGGAAATTAAAAACATCATTTGCGTATCAAAACTAAAATATTTACGATAAAAGAATTATTTCACAGTGCAAACATTTCATTAAAAAAAATTACAAAATTTATATCGTTCGATTTATGCGGATATCGAGCCTTAGATAAATAAAATAATTGTTATTTTTGCGTTTTAATTTGCTCACGAACGTAGCGAGAACAGATAGCTTCCTTCCTCCACCATCTATCCTCGTTGGAGCTAAAAGAACGAATAAGTCTGCATAAATTTTCGATTTTTTTTTTGAATTTTTTATCACCTTAATGAATTTACATTAGAGACTAACGACTATAAAGTTGTATACAGAACATTGTTCATCGTCATCATCTTCAGCCATCTTTATCTAGTTCTAGATTTTAGTAAACAACAAAGTATAACTCTCTATTCATAAAGGGTTGGGCCTTTAAGACAAGGTATAAATTATAACCCCTACTCATTTTTCCCGCGCTTAACCGCATTTGCTAAAACTTTTTACTTTTAGTATTATACTGTACCATATCTTTCCAAAATTAATGCGTGACTGGTTAACATAATAATAATCCTACTCTTGATAAAAAGCAAAACGCTTTTTAATTGGTAATTTATATGATTCAGATAACAGCCAAAACAAACTCACCAGTATCAAATCTTTTTACCAACTCAGTTTGTTTTGCAAATACTTTTTAGAGATGTTTAAATTTCAAAGGAACCTGGATATTATATACATTAGCTTTTTGTTTCTTATGCTCTATTGTTATATTTTAATTATATTTTTTGACATAATATTTCAGAATTTGCTGTTTGCTAAAGAGAACTTGCAACTAATTTTGTAAAATACATGCTCATAGCATATATTTTACAAGATTTGTAGCAAATTATTTAAAAGTTTTTTGTACTTATTGCTACATTTAGCTTATGATTGTATAAATACAATAACAGCTTGATTTCAAAAAACTTTAATGATGAATTTACCAAAAATGCGAACAAAAAGTATTCATTTAGGATAAACTAATGAAATACTTATAAACTGCCAAATAGCAAGTATTCTGAATATGAAATAGCATACCGTGGACCAAAACTATAGAACAATATTCAAAAAGCAAAAAGTTTAAAAAAAGTAAAATCGTTCAACTCCATTAAGTTGCTTTTTTAAATTTAGCTAGATTAAGCCTTTTACATTTTAAGCCACATTAAGATGAAATTTTTAAACTAGATAAATAATTGTTTAATTTTTTTTCTAAATGAACATCAAATTCCATTATCCTTAGTTTTTATTTGTTTGATTGTATCTTTTTTCTATATTTAAAAGAATTTGTCAGTATATTTAAACGAACAAACCTAAAACTATATTGAAACTATTTACTTTTTTGATTTAATGGAATTATTTATGAAAACTTTTTTATTATTATTATAATGGAATTGTACATGGCATTTTAACAATCTTATTTATAAACTTGTAAGGTCCACATAGGAGCTCTGTGAAAAGATTGTGGTGACTTTTGTGCCTGCTTTTTTATAAATTCACTTTTTTTTATATGTTTCTTTGTAATTGTTATATGAACAGCAAATGAGATATAATAAACAAATTATAAAAAAATAAAAAAACGGCAAATATTATTGTTGCGTCTGTGAGTAACTAGCCATGAAACAAATCATTAATGTTTTACATAAATAGCTAAAATTTTAATAGCTATTTTTTTTAGGTTAATCTAATAATGATTAAAATTTTAAGTTCTGTTACCATGTCGTTCTCATGATATAATCTTCAAAAGCATTAGCCAATATAAACTAAGCATTTGTATTACTGCAATCCGACTAATTTTGGTAATTATGCGATATTTAGTTAGAACATTTTTGACGATAAACTTACACATAGTTGCATCATTTAAATTGTTTTATCAACCAATTTTTTTGCAATTTATTTACTGTTTTTTGAATTTATAATGTATACCGCCTAGGCGGTTTACGTTATACATTCATAAGACAATTAGTAAATAGCACCGCCTATGCGGTGTTAAATACAGCATCAAGGTAGTTGACATTATATTACGTTAATTCAAAAGACAATAAGTAAATAGCAAAAAGAAAATAGATAAATCTAATAATTTTAATTTTTTAATTTTTTTTAATAATTATTTTGCTGTTTTTATAAAAGCCAAAATTTTTTTGCAAAAAAAATTGGTTGGTAAAACAAGTTAAATGATGCAACGACGTGTAAGTTTATCGTTAAAATAACGATCTACATTTTTTTAAAGTTAATTGCTGGGTAATTTATTGTGAGTTGATTTTTTATCGAAAAATTGAATAAGATTTGATGCGGTAGCAGGAACAAATCTCCGGGGAAAAAATCCCCCCGGAAAAAATCACCTCAAAATAATCCCCCGAGAAAAAATCCCCCCGAGATAAAAATCCCCCCGGAAAATATCCCCCCCCCCCAAAAAAAAAAAAAAAATATATATATATATATATATATATATATATATTTTCAAATTAAAAATTATCAATAAATTATTTATATTTATTTATTTAAAATAGTTTTATAAAATACTTCATTTTTCATCAAAATGTTATATGTTTAAGTTATGCGCTACTCTTCAGTGGTCGGTAAAATGCAAGCTACGCTCCTCGAGCTGCGAACCGATAAAATGCGAACTTTTTTGCGAAACAAAACATTATATTTTAAATACCATTATTTTTATGATAAAAATAAGAATAAAAAAAATCTCCAAATTCTTAATTATCTATTTTAAAGCTTTATTTAAAATAAAATTTTTATTTTTAAAATGTAAAACATGTGCGGAGTGTTGCTACATCGACTATCTTTTAGCCTGACTCGTAACGGAGTGCTTCTACATCAACTGACAAATAGCCTGACTAACAACGGAGTGCTGCTACATCGACTGAGGGTTTGGTTTGGACAGGCAGTCTATCAAATAACTAAAATATATATATATTTTTTTTCATATTGTATTCGTCTAGTTTCACTTAATTTCCTTTTATTATTTTTTTTTTATAATTTTTTTGCCTAAAAGTCCTTAAAATAAACCGCTAAATTAAATACGATGGTTCGCAAAAAAGTTCACATTTTAACAGTTCGCAGTTCGTCAGAGTTAGGGTTAGGGTTTCACATTCGCAACCTCAGAGGAATAACGCATAACTTGACATTTTGATGAAAAATGAAGTATTTTATATAAATATTTAGAATAAATAAAGAAATAAACATAACTACATATTGATAATTTTTAAGTAAAAAAAAAAAAAATTTTCAGGGGGATATATTTCGGGGGGATTTTTTTAAGAGGATGGGGGGATTTTTTCCGGAGGGATTATTTCTCGGGGGGATTTTTTCTCGGGGGATTATTTCGGGGGGATTTTTTCTCGGGGGATGTTTTTCCTAGAACCATTTGATGCAATTATTTATCGTTTTTTATCGCTTAATCTAAAGAAATTTCTTTTCTGCTAACCACCAATGCGGTAACGCCAATGCTTAGTATAAACATGAAAGTAAAAAACAGATGGAAGTTCAATCGCATTGAAATCCTTCGGAACTATGTTTGTAACTTTTTGTTTGGTAAAAAAAAAAAAAAAGAAAAATACATCTTGACTGCTTAATCTGTATACGTTGACGCAGACATATAATGGTCCGTTCATAATAATTTAAAAACATAACATTATGACGTTTCGCCAATAATATTCAGGTATAAATATTTAAAATGGCGATAACGAAACGGCAAATAACAACTTTTCATGTTAAATGAATGGAGTATTATAAGTATGAAAGAAATTATGATATAAAAATAAAGAAACTTTAGGTTTTAGTAATGTAGAAAACATTTTTTATTTAAATTTTTTTTTAAATTGTTTTAGTAATCTCTTTATTCAAACGTCGTGTTATGTCGTTGTGTTATGATTCGAAGCAAGAAAAAAGTTTAAACTAACATATGTTTTTAAAATAAAGTGATTCTATTTAGTTACCGAGTTTTACTAAACATTTTAATAAATAATTACAGTAACTAATTGATAAAATCATACCCTTATACTTTTAATAATTCTTTTTTTAATGATTTAACAAAAATCATTTCAGTTATTTTTTATTGTTTTTTGTCCAGTGAAACTAGTTCTTTTTAATTGTCGGTTACAATCATACTCCCGAGCGACTTGAAATTGCTTTCTTGTTTGCAACTTGATGAATTTCCATTTGTTTTATACCTCTATTTTATAAACTAGATCTTAATGAACTGTATTTTAAAAGTTATAATGTTAAACACAATTCCCCTAATCCAATGAGCAAAGGACGTCCTTGGACGTCAGTAGTACGTACCGTTTAGGTCCATTCGTCCAAGTCCAAAGTAGTACGTTCTCGGACGTCGTTTGGACTTACTTTTATGAAAGGGTGAATATAAAATATTTTCAAAATGGTTAAAAAAACATAGTTTGAACGTTTTCAATTTTTCAACTTATTCTATGACTATAACTATTGAATTATTGTTATCGAAAATTTAAGGTTTAACAATATAGCTCTATAATAATATTTTTTTTTTAGGTTAATAAATCTAATTAAGAAATATGGAATATAAACGGTAATGAAAGAGATAAAATATTTTTTCTTCCAAAAGTTTATTTTGTGAGCTCATTATAAAATTACACTCAATAAATTCGAACTTCTTCATACTAATTAGAAAACTACATTTCTTTATTTTTCAATATAAATTTTGTATGCAATATAAATTTATTAGATATTTTATACTATAAATTGTAGAGATTTA